CTACCCAGATTCTCTCCACCCTGTTTCTCTCTGTCTCTCTCTGTCTCTGTCTCGGTGTGTGTGTGTGTGTGTGTGTGTGTGTGTGTGTGTGTGTGTGTCAAAAAGAAATAAATAAAAACCAAGAAATACACACAAAACAAAACCAGATCTGAAACCAAAATATGCAAGCAAAAGACAAATGAGACCAAAAGAAAGTCCAAGCAAAGCCATATGAGGTAAAAGGTCTGCAGAAATCCTGAGTTCTTTTTATGTCCCTTGCCTCTTTGCCGTATGTGAATATCTTAAATATCTGCTCCTTGTATGCTGGCTGTCATATCCCTCTCTCTCCCACGCCCTCCCTCTCTCCCTCCCTTACCTTCCTACTTCCTCTTCTCCTTCTCTCGTTTCTTCTCTTTTATGCTCTGTAAATACTCTACAATATTTTTGTCCTGTGACAATGAATATGAACCACTCTAAATGTTGGGTTCAAGAAGAAAGAGTGACTCACTCCTCTGCTCTTCTAAGACAAAGATAATGAAGAAAGTCACTAAAAGGAAATGGGCCTTGCTGGCTCAAAAATTGGGGGGATAGAAAGAACCCTGTACTTTGGGGAATGGAAAAGTAATAGGTTGTAAAATCTTCTGTTACAGAGAAATGCCTGAACAAACCCAAAAGTAGATCTCAGAGCACACCATAGGCAACTCCCACCATCATCAGTCCCATATCTATTAATCTCTTGTCTCCTCACTGGCCAAAGCGCTTCTTAGGCATATCATTGTCTTCTTTCTCTCCCAACTCTGGAACAGAGGTATGCTTTTTCACTCCTGCAGAACAATTCCAGGATTCCCTTAGCCCTCTGTTAGATCCATAAAAGACCAGACTGGTTTTCTCAAACTGTCCTAACCCTTTCTCCATTTTACCTTCCACAGCAAAAATTCTCTTCTACATTCGATACTTGTGCCTTTGAGAGTTATACCCAAATGAAGCCTTGAGAGTTAAACCAAAATGACGCCTAGTCATCAGCTGAATCCCAGCCTATAATATGAAAGGGAAAGGCATTGTTCTTTATAGGGCCCCAGTGCTATGAGAAGGGATCTTCAATAGTCACAGGGCAAGAATTCTGGATTGCAGCAACAGTGGGGGGGGGGCCTGTTTACTCTCACTGGGGCATGAAGAGTTTACCATAAAGAAGGAAAAGCAGGACAAGTTCCAGAATAACTCAAGAGTTAGTGGTAAGTCCACCTGATGGCAGGGATGGGATGGTACAGAAACATCATAGAGAGAAAAGCTTCTTCTCGGGTGTTTAAGGAAGGTTTGAAGAAATGAGAGACTTTTAAGCTGGGTCTTCCAACTTGAGGAAGGTTTCCTTAAAACATGAAGGTTTCCATAAGCAGAGACAGCAAATGGGAAAGGCCAAGAGTAAAAAGTTAAACAAGGACAACAAGCATGCTAAGACATAGCACTGAGAAGAAAAAAAAAAGATGCAACATGATTTTCATCTAGATAAGTGAATGTGAGCTTATCAAATCAGTTTCTTAGAGCCTTCTGAATTTATTGGCTCATTGACTTGTTTGAAATTTTAATAAAAGTTCATCTCTATCTTAACTATTAAATTCCTTTGCTTTTCAGGCCAGAGAAGGGGAAGTGGCCATCATTGACAAAGTCCTAGACAATCCAGACTTGACATCTAGAGAATTCCAACAATGGAAGCAGATGTACCTCGACCTTTTCTTGGATATCTGTCAAAGCAGCGCCTCAAATGACCCACTAAGTATCTCTTCTGAAGTAGATGTTATCTCTTCCTCTCTAACACATACTCATTCGTACATTGAGACACATGTGTAAGTGCATTCTGACTCGAGGCCCCTAGTACCTGCTGGTACTCTGAACAGGTACATGAGGTAGTTTTTTATCAATGTGTTGGACACTTGACAAGCTATACTTTAATGTTACCAAACTATATGAAACAAAGCATACATGGTCACATTACCGCTGTCTTTAATGAGCATTTGTATGTTTTATATGCAGTCCGTGCTCAGCTTATGTGCAAAATCAACTCTCTTTAATGACTTAAATTAACTTTTACAAAGAAGTCTGAATACAGGTGGTCTTCAGATAGAAAAACCACAAAAAGGCAGTTTTCTACCTGAAGTCGTCTTTTCTCCCTTTAAGTTAATTTTCTATAAATGAGACTTCAAACGTAAATCACACTTTTTTCAGGTGCAGACCTCCTTGTGGGTGGGAAAGAATTTAAACCTTTTTATATTTATTAAAATGTTCTAAGAATTTTCTTAAACATTGCACAAAGTTTAATGCTGTAGTTTTATTTTTGTGAAATGTAGGTGCGCATAAAAGAGTTTCGCAAACTAGAAGAGCGCCAAGATAAGAAAGGTTCAGGCAGCTAATACCCGTCTTAATAGTCTAGTGACCTGTGCTAACTGGCTAATGGAGGCACTATTCCAAATCAAGGAGAGCACTGCATGGTGTATCAGGGCAAAGCTTTGTAAGATGTTTTTGTAACTAAGACCAAAATCGAAGATAGAGCTGCTTTATTTTCTTGGTTTAAATCTTCCTTTATTTTTGTAGTGACGAAATGCTGATTGTGTACAGAAGAATTTAAGAATGGATTTTTTAAAACAGACTTAACTCACCCAGAAAGGCAGCTAACAGCTATACATACATACCTACATAATGGATACATACATGCATACATACATACATCTATATATATACATATATATATACATAATTTCAGCCCAAACTCGTGGTTTTTGAACTCTTAACTCTTAAAAGACAAAGTATACACTGAATTGAGTCCATTTTCCAGGCAATTTCCAATTTTCCCTTGGTCTGTTAACTAAACTTCTGTAATTATACATCAGACCAGGGAGTAAAATACATTTAGTCATAGCAGATGGAACTTACAATAGAGAAATCAATGTGAAAAAAATGTTAATGGACTTGTCTGCTAAGGACAGAGAGTGCGGTCATTCAGGGAGTCGCCACTCTGAGTGACCTGAGATCAGGCACTTAGAGGTTTCCCCAGTCCTGACCTGTTTATACAGTGGGTGGAGTCTATGGCAACATCCTCTTCATATACACGGCCATTTCTGTGTGTCCAGTTTTGGAAAGTGACCACAGCATGAAAGTGACTTGCTGCTTTTTTTAGTGTGTGGCTGCATAATGTACAAGTCACAATTCGCTGTTTTTCCAGGAGGGAGAGAGCCTCCTTTACTATTATTCTATATCCTAAAATCTACTTCTGATCAGCTTTCTCCTGTCGCCTGTACAGCTCAGTGAATGTACTTATATCTCTAAGAGTTCAAATATTTTTGCTGTAGAGAAGGAAGTAAAAGCTACACAGCGGACTCTTTTTCTTTGCTTTTGAAATCACATTAGATCACTATCGTTTTGCAGACTTTGCACAACTGGACAGGAGAGTGGCCTTTCTACAGCACACTTTCGGTAATCCTATATTTACTGGATGAGAAACCACGTATTAATGTTTGTATGGAATTTTGAGTCCAGTGTAATATTTTTATCATTTAAAAAAAAACCCTATTTGTAAAAACATTTATTTACTGCATGGTTATTGACACACATTAAATTTGTGGGATTTTGTGTATGTAAAAGAGAGAAAGAGAGAGAGAAAAAAAAACAAACAAAAAAAAATCCCTCTTGTCCTAAAAAGAAGTGTGCTTGTTACAGTTGTTTAGGCATATTGATGTTTACTAGACCAATGTGTATCTTAAAAAATCTCTGTACATGATGGATGTGTCACATACCCAGTGGACAAACGGCCTGCAAACAGCAAGCAGTTGGTGGGAAGCTAGCTCTGTTACTAGTAAGCAGCTTCTACCTTTGTAACGTCAGCTGTTGCTTTACTGGTAAAACTTAAACTAAGGAATTTCACTAGACTCGTGACTAGCCTAGCATGAAAGAGACCTTTAAACACTATATATCTGTACATTGTATTGCCTTAGTTTCAGGTCTAGGGGAGAGGCAGCACTGTAAACTGGATTCAAATTCAGCCCTTAACAAATCCTTATAAGGCACCAACTTTATTCCCACAGAGGGCTTACCACAGTCCTCGGTGACATAATCACACAGCCACCCTCACTACCACCGCCCCACTTACAAGTTCTCACTTTGCCACCTCCCTGACAGCCCAAGCCAGAAGTAACACCTGTTCACAGCTTACCAAGGTCTCCTATGAGACCTTGAAAACCCCAGCTAAGCTCTCTTTCCACTGATCTGACATAACCGTGTAGAGTTCACCTACTCATTCTTTTCTGTGAGCCTTCAGGGACTGGAGGGAGCAAGCCACCAAAAATCAGCTCATTTTCATCTTACAAATGCAGCATTTTGTGGTTAAGGGTTGCTGAAATATGTCTAAACTAATAAGCCGCCTCCAGCCAGTGTAAAAGCAGATGGAAAAGGAACAGGAAAAAAAATTAACCAAGAATAGTTTCTCAAAGAAATGCTTTTTCGGAGATTTTTATTTTCCTTCTCAATTCCATCTCGATAAGAAACTGTTAGAGCAGCACTGTACCCGGGGCCCTGCACTGTAAAAGTCAGTCTCCTCTGTACAACCGTCCCATGCTCTTTAAGCCAGACACGCGCATACACATTCACAATTCCGTCAGGTAATACTGTCTTGTGGGACTCTTACACCTGTTATAAGCAACAATTTTCTGCTTATAACTGATTGTACATTTTTAGAAGGGAGACATGAAAGGAATCGCAGGCACCTGAAAAACAGTTTAGGGAGGGAGATAAGGTCCTATTTTACTTCCAAAAGTCCACCTTTAGCACAGGGTGAGTTTGTCTGAAAACTCTTCATTTAACTAAAGCTGATTCATATCTTTGTATTTGACCATTCCTGACCGCCATTTACAGTTGAAGAGGAATAGTTATTCTTTGGCTAAAGTCGCGTTTGTCTCCTTACCCTTCAGAACTGCTCTATCAGAGTCCCAATCTTCGGGTTGGGGGGGGGGGGACTTTTCTCTGCTGGCAAGGTCAAGGACAGCTTTCTCTTGGGTCCTCTGAGGACCGGAGTCACCTGTTCAACCCAACACTAAATCTAGTGCCTCCCCAGGCTCTCCCTCCCTTGTCTCCTCCCCACCCTCCACCAGCTGCAGCACTGCACACCGAAGGCCACTCCAAGCCCAGGGCAGCCCACAGCCTATGTCTTCCCAACGGTCCAGGTCAAGGTCATAACCCACTACGTTACGGGTTGGCACCTGGCGTGAATCCCGCCACTTGAGGCCGCCCAGTAGTAGCACTGTCTCCTCTACCACAGCAAGTCCATAGCAGAAGCGATCGTAGGGTAGTGACCGCAACCGAGTCCACTGGTCCGTGCTGGGATCATAGCGTTCAATCTCAGAGAAGGGCTCGTACCTTCCCAAAAAGGCAAACACTGCGCCTCTCAGCACCGCAAGGTAATGCCCATAGCGAGCTGTGCCCATGGGTGCCCTCTTCCTCCATGCCCTTTCTCCAGGGCTAAGGGAGTACATATCCCGGAGGCTACTTGTGCCTCCTTCACCTCTCCCAGCCTTGCCCCCAGAGATGTACACAACACCATGGTCTCCAACGGCACCTGCGTGGCCATGCAGTGCCCGCGGCAGCTCCCCAGCTGCCACCCAGCGGTCCCTGCGCAGATCGTACATCTCCACTGAGGCCAGTGCTTCGCCACAGGAGCCCAAGCCCCCAATGGCTAGGAGATTGTCGCCTACCACTCCACACCAGAAGTAGGCCCGTGCTTCTCGCATGGCGGACACCTCCGTCCAAGCGTGGAAGCGCGGGTCATAACGGTGCACTGAGGCTGTGACAAGCCTTGGGCCATCTGCCAGGGAGCTAGGTGGACTACCAGAAAGGCTCTCCCCTCCCAGGACAAATAGGAAGTTGCCCATGGCACATACACTGTGGCCTAGCAGCGGTGCCGGCAGCCGTGTCAGGCTGCGCCAGCTGTGGTTGTACACGTCAAAGGACACCACATCCTGGGTGAGCTCCCACTCCTCCTCCTTCATCTCTTCTTCCTCTTCTTCCTCCTCTTCCTCCGGTTCAGGTGCAGGGCGCCGATTCCTTCCTACCTCTGGTAGGACCACAATTTCTTCAGTAACAGGCTCCCTCGCTCTAAGACCACCAACCAGTAAGATGCGTGTCTGGGGACTCCGGATACTAGTCTGTTCTCCCTGCAGGAGCGGCTGGCGAGAAGGTGCCGTGTGGTAATTGAGGGCCTGGATGATGAGGCCCTTGATCCGAGTAGGTAAAGTAAGACCAGAGCCTGAGTACACGCGCCTCAACACACCCGCAGGCACCAAGCCGAAGCGGATACATCCAAGCAGTGTTGAACTGTGTGCCAAGCGCTGGGTCGCAGGCTCCTGCCTCAGCCAGGCTAGTGCCAGGCCCAGTAGCTGCGTCTCAGCCACCCGTGCCACGTCAGGGGCACCCAGCACAACCTTCATTGATATAGGGTTGAGTTCCAGCAGTCCCGAGGGGCCAGCGCCCATCAGTAGCAGCTCCCGCAGGTGGCGCACGATGCAGCGTTCAGCTGCACCAAGGGTGTGAGCCAGGCCAAAGCGAGCAGCCACATTGGCAGTGAAGCAGCAATTCTCTGGGGCAAGCTGACGTTCCAGGTAGTGGCCACACAGCCCCAAGGCCTCCGTGACTTGCAGGTAGCTGGCGGCCTCCAGAGTGTCCTCCACAGTGTCCATAGAGAGGGGCAGCCAGGCAGTGTAGATAAAGTCCAGCAGACGCTGCAGGCCGGTCGCTGATGGCACATGCAGGTGAATTACATGAGCCTGTGATTCCTTATTGTGACTCTTGAACAGGGCCCTAAAGTAGTCGCTGGAGCATGCCAGAAGTGACCTGTGCGCTGGGAACTCACTGCCCTCGACCTCCAGTATCACGTCGCACAAGAAGCCTTCAGCACGTAGGGCCTGGTAGCCCGTGAGAAGAGAGCTACCATGAGCTTTGCAGTAAGACAGGAAGTAACTCATGGTGCCCGAGGCGGGAAGCTGGAATGGAGCCAGCCCGGCGCGGCTGGAGGCATCCCGCAGCACCGACCCCCTCCTCCGCTGTCCAGCAGCAGAGCCCCCTAGCAAAGGCCGATTTTTTGCCTGCTCTGCTTAAAATTTAGGGTTTCTTCATCCAGATCTGGCAGTTGTTCTGTGCCCGTCTCAAACAACGAATGATCTAGAGACAATTTCCAGAAGTCTCTAGTAGCAGAAGTTGTGAGTTTCAGAGCCTTCTCGGTATTGCTAGGCTTGCATTCAGCTGCTGCTGCTGCTGCAGGGCAGCGCGTTGCCCAAAGCCCCCTCCCCTACACAATTTGGGGAGCCCACACGTGCACGCCAGGGGCGGCGGTGGCCGCGCACCATCACCTGAAGAGGTCGATCTGACAGTGCACCAGCGAGGGTACCTGATCTCCAGCAGGGCAAATGCGTGGATGTGGCCCTATTGTGGGGGCCCCGGGAGTGCAGGATGGTGGCTCTGAATTCCCGGCCATGGAGCAGAAGGACCTGTTCTGTGGACACCCGTGCAGTCCGAAGACAACTGGCTAGGGGGCTGGGGGTGAGCTTGTTCCGAGAGGAGGATCAAATCAAACCCTGTGGCACTGGGGGGAGCGCAGGTCAGCGTAGAGGGTTGGGAGCGTGATTGCGCGCTGCACATTACATGCCGGTAGCTCACAGGGACAGGAATAGTGCTCGCCTTGGCTCACTGGCGCGGCTACCCGCCCCGCCCTGCGCCTCAGCTGCTGGCTGCTAATCAGGAGCCCGGCAGGAAACTTCCTGAGCCAGGGCACTGACTTCTGCGACCCGAATGGCCTTTGGTCACCGCGGGGAGCCCGAGGGTCCCCTCGAACACTGGAGTTGTGTGAGGAGAGCTCACGAAGGGCCGGAGTCCCTTGGGACTCTCGGCCTGGAGGTGTGCTTGGTTGAGCTGGAGGACTGGAGACCTCCTGTTGCCCCAAGGACTGGTAAAGAAGCTCCAGGCTCAACTTTTGGCTTTGAATATGTCCTAATTAGTAGGGAGCAAGCGGGATTAAGCGGCGACTTTGTGCTCTGACACCTAAGCGGAGGCCTCCGCTCAGAGAACAGAGTTAAATCAGAGGGAACCCAAGCTCTGGGTCAGAAGTGTATGCCCCTCACCTGCACTCACCCATGTGAGATTCGGGGGCATGTGCCTTTCCTAAAGCAGGTGGAGTCTCCCAAGCTGCCTTGCTTCACATTCATTCCACAGAATTTGCTCCCTTCCCCCACCCCCACCCCACCCCCATGGCTGCCTTCGGACCCTAGAGGAGATCTCTTTGGTGTTCTTGTGGAACCCATCTCTTTGCAACACGGAGAAAGAAGTTGCAACTAACTTGAGTTGTTTGTCTTTACGTGGCAACGCCTCAAAAAGAAATCTTCTAGTTTTCTCTGGTTTTCTGGGCTGTGGTCTAAGGAGTGGCTGCTGCATCCTCAATGTCAAAGACATTGGGCTGCAAAGACAATGGGCAGTACAGTGACAAAACTCCGGAGAGCTCTGGTTTCTAGGGCCCCTCCTCACAAAGTTGTTTTTCTAAGAAACACCCAGTGTCCAAATGTGACTGTCCGTCACCAGCAGCCTGCTCTTACACTACAAACTCATCAAGTGCTCTTTCTTGCCAATTTGGAGGCTTCTCTTTCGTTTTGCTTTCAGCTACTGTTCCTTTGCCCACCTTTCGAGAGCAACTCCGCCCCCTAGCAGTCTGTTCTAGATGCGTCTTTCAGACAAAGTTGTATTTCATAGATTTGAAGGACAAAACGCTCTTGTTTCCTACTTGGTCAGCCATCAGTACTTATAAAGTATCCGATCACATGCAATTCTTTAATAACATAAAATATTAGTCAAAATTCTATGGGGCTGAAGAGATAGTTCGGCACTTAAGAGTACTTGCTGCTTGCTCTTGCAGTGGTCACGGGTCCACTTCCCAGAACCTACATGGTGGCTCACATCCACTTGTAAGTCCAGTTGCAGAGAATCCAACACCCTCTTCTGTCCTCGGTGCAGGCACACAAGTGGTACAAAGACATGCATCCAGGCAAAAACACTCATACATCTAAAATAAAAATAAACATTTTAAAAAGTGATTCTGCTGCCAAAGATAGAATTGAGTTCTAACTTAAATTACCAAATTATAGAGTGTAGGTAGGGGCGGGGGTTGTACTCCCTTAACTCTAAAAATGTTCCAACTGAAATTCCTAACATTAGCAGCATAAATGATTCCAGGGAGAGTGTTGTTCCTATGGAGATGGAAGACACTCTTAAAATGCTTGGCTCCGAAGGGAAACATAAATCGGGTGTGGCATCATATGCCTTTAGTCTCATCCAACACTCAGGAGGCAGAGGCAGGTGGATATCTGAGTTTGAGGCCAGCCTGGTCAACAGAACAAGTTCCAGGCCAGCCGATGCTGCACAGTGAGACCCTGTCTCAAAAAAAAGAAAAAACAAAAAAAAAAAAAACCTTTTTTAAAAGTTAACTATTGCTACAATTCGTTTTACACAATTCTCCATTTTAAATCTAAATGCCCTTCACTCAACCTAATTAAATTTTGCTAGAAGGAATTTGGGGGCTTATTAAGCCAAACCTTGGCCCAGTCCCCCAAAATCACATTTTTCTGCTTTATACAAATATGCCAAATGAGCTCCAGACAGAGTATGGTTTGTCTGAATGCCTTGAATATTGAGTTCTAGAGTTTGGCCAGGAATCCAGGGTTCTTTTCCTACTATATATTATGTGACCACATGTATAATAAAAATCAACTCGTGCAACACACTTTATTTCAAAGGTGATAAAGTGCCATTTTAGTAATTTAAGAAGACTTGCGTGTGGTTTTTTGAATAGCACATTGTTCACACTTGTATTAATTCACATCCATCAGAGCTACCCATCACTGTACATTTGTATTCAAGATGTCACATTGCAAGGCAAAGATGGCTGTGGAAAAATCTGAAACTCTTAACATCAAAAGAATGTGTTTACCGCTGGCCCAATGTGACATACTTTGCCAGTGCCGAAGTGATGGCGTGTGTTAACTGAAGACATTTTTACATTGTGTGTGCTTGTGAGACCTTGTTTAGAAAATGTAACTGTCAACCCAAGAACATCATTGTCATTTGAGTAATGGTTATGTAGTGTTAGTATTTTTATTTCTGTGCAATATTAAATAATATTAAATAAACAATTTAGTCTCTGTGTTTAAGCCATGGTAGATGTGTGTCTTAAATTGATATCTTGGTCCATTCCTTAAACGGGATACTGTATAAACAAAAGAAAGTCATTGTTCATAGTTCTAGACTCTGGAAGTCAACGTTCAAGGCACTAGCACACTCAGTGTTTAGTGAAGACTCTCTACTGTGTAAAGACGGTGCCTTCTTACTGTGTCTTACATGGCAGAAAGACAGCGGGCATTAATCCTATCACCAAGGCAGAACCCAGGGACCTACTCACTCCCCAGAGACCAACATTCTCAAAGGTCTTACACTGGCTATTAACTTTCCACATGTGAATTCTGGGAGGACACATATATTCTGACAAAACAATAGGGTTTCCCAGAAACCCGCCTTGTAATCCAGCAGTGCTGAGTGGCTCTGATGGGATGTCGATGTGGTCATTCTGTTGGAAATGATCTCCTTATGAGTTGTCCTCCCCCTACTAGATTATCAACTCTTCAGAGCAGGGGCTGTGTCTGCAGCCCTTGTCTTGGTCATTACCACAAGCAGTGTTGTGTTAAACAGATGAAAATAATGAAGGAGAAAGCCTTGTATTTCTCCTTTTTACACAGCTGGGGTAAGACACATACAAGTAAGGCCATAAGAAACAAAAGGGTGACCATACGTGGCTCTAACTGTGGAGTTTGGGTGGACTCGACCCTTCTGAAAAGGAATTAATACCTTGTCAACCATCTAGTACTACTCTGTTACTCCAGTTCTTTAACAAGACCACACCTCCGTGGCTCTCACATGCATGATTGCCCACCCAACTCAGACACCAGGTGCCCTAAAGACACTAGCAGTAGCCCGTGAGCCATCTGGTGTGGTTGAGCTTCTCCTCCTCACCCCAGTATGCCCGTTGGAACTTTAGTATCTTCTCTGGACCCTTCACCAAGTGTCGGGCCTGTGAGCTGCTGTTCTCAACCCCGCATCCAAGCTGCAATGCTACTTACCCGGAGCCCTCTACCTGCCCTGAGTAGACCTGTTAGAACAAAATCTCAGCCTGTAAAGTGTTTGAAACACACGCATGAGAACCCAAGTTTATGGCCTGTTGAATTGTTCCTGAAGTCATAGTGATGGGAATGTGGCAACAAGAGGATCGCTTGAGCTCACTAACTGGCTAGTCTTTCTGAATTGGTGAGCCCTGGGTTCAGTGAGAGACCCCCGTCTCTAAAAACAATGTGAGAGCAACCAAGGGAACAGCTTGACATCACCCTCTGGCCTCCACACACACATGTGCACATACATACCTGCATGAACACATGCACACACCACACACCAAAAAATGTTATAAAAATTGTGATTTTTTGGTAGCAAATTTCAGATATAACTAAGGTATGTTTATAATGAATATATAAAACACCATCCATTTCATCCATGGAAAGGTTTCCAAAGGCAGGGCATCTCTTTCTCCCCCATCGCCATCACCTTTTTCCTGAGACTATTTGTGTATCTATGGAATACATTTTATCTTTGTGATACGCAATTTCAGAAAAAAAAGGGGTGTGTGTGGTGTCTGAGAGAAACAAAACAAAGACAGAGACAGACTCATGAGTGATGATGTCATTCTAGCCCAGCTTAAGAGTCCTGGGCTCCAGCTGCACTATGATCCACGTGGCTGTAAACCAAGTGTCTTAAATTTTGTGAGCATCATTTTATCGTTCTTAAAAGGATAGTGACTCAGCATTCGCACCATCATTAAAATAAGAGAGAACTAAGTGTGGAGGGAGTGTCTGGGAGTACGGGTGTTTCTGAGGGTCTGGCACAAGAAATGGGTTTCTTCTCTCCAACTTTTGAGTAAAGCCTTATGAAAACTCACAGTACCAGGGCCGGGGAGATGGCTCAGAGGTTAAAAACACTTGCTGCTCTTTCAGAGGACCACAGTTCAATTCCCAGCACCCATATGGCAGCTAACAACCATCTGTATCTCCACTTACTGGCCCTGATGTCCTCTCCTGGCTCCTTTGGGCCCTGCATCACTTGGTGCACGGATGTAGGAAGTATATCTGTTACGTACAGGCAAGTCTTGTGTCACAGTTAGGGTTTCTATTGCTGTGAAGAGACACCATGACCATGGTAAATAAAGGAAAACATTTGCTTGGGGTGGCTTGCTTACAGTTCAGTGGTTCAATTCACTATCATCAGTGTGGGACATGGTAACATGCAGGCAGACATGGTGCTGGAGGAGCTGAGAACCCTACATCTTGCAGGCAACAGGAAGTCAACTGAACATCACACTGAGAGAAGCTTGAGCAAGAGACCTCAAAGTCCACAGCCACAGTGACAATCGTCCTCCAGCAAGACCACATATTCTAATAGTACCACTCCCTTTGTGGACCATTTTCTTTCAAACCATCACATGCCGGTACCTAAAAATAAATACATCTTTTAAAAAGAAGAAATAAAGAAAGCTATCTCACAGTACTATAGCAAAGAATGTGATAAAGTAGTGGTCCTCCTACAACATTGCATGACAACAGTGAATAAACAGACCTTTTAAGACATGAGAGATGGCTCAGAAGTAAGAACACTTACTGATCTTATGGAAGACCCAGGTTTGACTCCCATACCAGCATAGTAGCTCTCAACCATCTGTAACTCCAGTTCCAAGGGATCTGAAATCTTCTGACCTCCTTGGATACTGCACACTTGTGGTACATAGACAGGCAGACAGGCAAAACACCCATAGGCATAAAATAAAAATAAATCAATCTTTTGAAAGAAAGAAACAGTCATTCTTGCTTGTTAAATTAGGAACTCTAGGACTGAGGCTTGTGTTCTGTTCTAACAAGCCCTCCCCACAATGTCTATGATGTCCTGGGTTTACTATTCTAAAGAATAACTTCTGGGTTTGATATCAATGTTTTCCCCAAGCAGGGTTACATCCATCCATTTTTCTCTTGCCAACAACACAATATCATGCTTCACAATGGGGTTTAATGTGTGATAGTTGATGGGGGACAACCAAATCACAGCAAGAAGAAAAGCCAGTGGTGAGAGACCCAAAGGAGAAAGGGGACTTCCGCTCCATGTCACACAGCTTAAAAAAAAAATAGGAGCTTGTATTTTCTTTCCTTTATTATCCTCACTAGATGACAGAGTTGGTGATGGCTTACTGATGCAGGAGATTATGGCCTGCTACCCCACGCATAAACTAAAGTAAAAAGCAGTTGATTGAATCCTCAACTTAAAGTTGGCTGTAGCCCTCATTTCCTATCCAGATGCCCTATTTTCAGAAGCTCTTGGATGAATCATTAAATATTCAAAGAAGTCAACCAAAGGATATAGGGTCTGGAACAATTCCTCCTCCTATAGGGAGCAGGTGAAAGGGCTGGGCTACAGGGTTTGGGCTAAGAAGAAATCAATAACCACAATTTTCAATTTTTCTGAAGAGCCGAGAGGAAAGCAGAGATAGTCTCCTGGCCAGAGTACAGAATTGGCAATTGGAAGTTACAAAGAAAAATATCACCATCACATGTCTATAGAACCACATGCTTCTGGTTCCTGCCTCTACTCACCTGCTCGTACCTACCTCTTCTGGGACCGGGTTCTACTAAATCCCTTTCTCAGAAAGTCTTATGTCAGGAAAGATACACACCATTGCAAAACCCCACCCAAGATACACTGAAATTTTGGAGAAGGTCAAGGCAAAGATCTGGCATCCCCAGCCAGATCAGCCCTAGAGATACTGTGGATGGTGATTTGAATTAAAAAAAAAATGCCCCCCTATGGGCCTATAGGGAGTGGCACGATTAGGAGGTGTGACCTTGTTGGAGTAGGTGTGGCCTTGTTGGAGAAGTGTGCTATCTGTGGATCAATATATAAAATTCTCAGCTCCTCCACCAGCCCCATGCCTGCCTAGATGCCACCATGCTTTCCTTCATAATAATGGACTAAGCCTCTGAACTGAAAGCAAGCCCCAATTAAATGTTTCCCTTTTTAAAAGTTTGCCATGGGGATGGTATCTCTTCACAACAATAGAAACCCTAACTAAGACACTATATTTGCAGGTATATGGATCCAATGGCATACCTGCACCTGAGAGTCAAGACAGCATCACACTAAAGGGGCATCTCTTCCTCCCCCCCTACCCATCCAGTCTTTCAGTGCAATTCTGGAAGGCAAACTGAGCTCCGGGTTAGTTTCAGACATACATGCCACTATTTTTCTCTTAAGACTTGTCTTCAGGTACCAACTACATGGTTTACTTAAAGTCTTTTTTTCTATTGGATTGATTCATGCTATGTCAATAAAATAAACAACTCTCACTTCGAAGAAATAGTAGAGATGGTTTCATATGGGGCCAAATCTGAATGACTGTAGCCCAGGACAGAGATTTAGGTTTCCTGAACTTCCAATGAACAAAGAAAGTGATAGAACACCCAACACATTGATGCCTATATCAGGTAGGTAGGTGGGTTAAAGTAAAAAGAGAAAAATTCTACTCTAGGCCTTAGATGCTCTCTGGTAGCATTCTTGTCCCTTTGGTTGGTGCAAACTGGGGTTCTGTTCACACATTCCAAAGGATTTACCTAAAAACATTCCAGAGGATGGCAATAAATGGCTGTTAAGAGGACTAAAGATGTCCCAAGATAATTTGGCTATGGCTCTGAAACACTCTGACTTCTCTACATCATTGAAGTTCTAATCAATCAATCAACTTTTGTAGTCACAACTACTTGCCAGGAATTCTGGTTCATGGTTGTTACCATTTCTCCCTAGCTCCACCCCAGGCCAGGAGTGTCCTGCTTTTGCTCTACAACCCTAGCTTCTCACCATTCGTCACGAGGCTTAAGCTGACTCAGTTGCTTTCTTCTAGTGGTTTCCACTCTATCTTTCATGAGATGGCTCATGTCCTTTTTTTCACTCCACAAAAGCCCTTCCCTCAAGTTCTACCTTCATGTGTGTTCAAGTACACCCCTGAGCTTCACACTTGGCTTGGTTTCCCAGGGGTCAGTTTAAGACT